AAAAGTGTACTAGTGTATATTTCCATGCTCTAGCGGAAGATCCATTCAATTTTGCTCATCCTATGGACACACACACACACACTCTCACACACACACTCTCTCACACACACACACACACACACTGATACATGCCAAGTTGGGCAATGTATGTACAACCAAGGATCTGCAAGGTGATGAAAAGGACTGAATGGACAATGCAGTGTTAGTGGAATCTCAACAAACAGTGTACATCCTGATACATACAAAATGACACTTTGTAGTGCAGAGGAAGACTCGGATATAAGTCCTGACTTGACTGGGACTGACATGACATCCCATTATACATCACCCATGTGAGAGGAGGAGATACCAAAGAGTTCCATACCGTTGTCGGTCGACCGCAGACCGGTCGGCCACCCGACATACAAGGGATTCGTCCCTCAACCGAGTGACCGGTTAAGATTTGACAGCTACTCTTGTCGAAGCTGTTCAGGAAAATTAGGGGTCCTCAAAGGGACTCTAAAATCCCCTACGTCGACCGCAAGAACTAACCCTTGGCATTAATAAGCTGAACAGCCGCCTCTACCGCGCCTGAGATTTACCTTTTTCATATGTTCTGAGGCTATCCTCGGATCAGCCAGCCATGACGCGAAGGAATACTTGTAGACCTTCACGCGGCCTTTTTCACACTGACCAGTTGGCGAGAGGACAAGCCTCAAATTTTATTTAATTTAATGAAGGAATTAAAAATGATCAATAAAATTAAAAATGATAAAAGGAATTGAAAAACAAGTAATTAAATGATTATTTAACATTTTCTATTGGATCACGGTCTCAATGATTTAAACCTGAATTCATCTATTTATTTGTTTTTGTTGATTTTAAAGGATTTCTTCTATTTATTAAAATTTACCAGATTTTCCCTAATTATTACCGTTGACATAACCAGGGGGTTATTGAGTGTGCGGTGTCAATATCCTCCTGGTTCCCTATGGTGTGCGGAGTGACGTGCGGTGTGGACCGTTAATTATTCCGACACCTTCTGTGGGAAGGGCATTGGTTACGTTGGCAGTTGGATCAGCGGACGGGTTTCTGGCTACGGCGGCGACTCTTCGTGATATGGTCTGAGGCTTGGCCCATATACGACCATGTGGTTGTTTGATTCAGTATTTGGTCGGGGACCGGAATGGAGATTGATATGGTACAAGCACGGTGTTTGTGGCGTTTGGCACGACGCTTGGTCCGAGGTTCAGTACCTTTGCCTTGGTACGATTATTGGTTTGACGCAGACGTGGTACTGGGGCAGTATACTGCAGTCTGCTCCTAATTTTCAGGTTCAGAACTGGCATGGTGCTTCGATCAGGGCCTATTAATTTGGTACGGCGCCGGATCTGGTTTGGGGCTGCTACAACCACTCCTGTTCGATGACGTTCGTCGAAGGTCCGGTATTATTGCAACGGCACGGCCACTGGCCCGTCACTAGTGTTGCGGTGAGGCATCGCTATTTTGGTATGGTCACTGGTCCAATATTTGTGAAACTCGTGGCGTTTCGGAACTACTCTTCTTGCTACGGGCACTGGTTTGGTATTGGTGCTGCCAAGAATCTGCACAGTTAGAAACTATTATTCTGGCATGGAATTACTCCGTGGCAGTCGATTCACAGTGAGGAGGTTACTGGTTCGGTATAGGGACGACTTGCTGCGACATGACACTACTACACTGTGTGGACACAGAACTGACACAGGTTCTGACGGCACAGTATCAGGCGCGGGACTGCTGTGACTTCCCTCGCTTGATGGGGTTAACCTGATGGCCTACTATGGGCCGGGCCCTTTATTTGAAACGGCTGCAACTCGTATTTTGGGTACTAGAGTGGACTTGGGACTGAGACACCTATTTCGGCTTGCGGGCACTTGCCCAAATCCACCGTGTCCAATGCCAGTGTTAATGGGGATAATGTTGTCAGTGGGAAAGGCCAGTGAATTGTGAGCCTGGTGCCGCAGATACCGACAGGACTACGAACGGGCCCAAGCCGCGGGGGACCGAGAGTTCCTCCTTGGGCTGTTACTGCGGTTCTTGAGCCCATATAGCCAACATACAAAAGGAAGAAAGGGCATTCGAACTTCCGTGTCCAAAATGATACTGAAGTTTGTGTCCAAAATGTCGAACGTCACTGGTTCGTATGCATGAGGTGCGAAATACACCGGTACGACCTCGATGTAACGATCGATAAGTTGTTGCGTTCTTCCGTCTGCCAACTTGATCGCCGTCGGGTTTGCCTTCCTTCAAACTTGTGCGCCAAGGCCTGGAGCTTGGCTCATGAAATTGCGAGTTGCGCCACTATCGAGCAAAGCGCTGCAGGACGCTTGCCCAACTTGGATGCGGACATAGAGGAGCGGTGCGTTGTTGTCATCGTACCGCTGCTTGCGAAACTCGCGGGCCACCTTCGTAACATACGCAAGGATGTCCCCCACCGCAGCTTCCCCATCCGTCAACGAAGTTGGTGGTGCACAGAAGGATAGATACTCGTGAAGATGAGCGCATAATGCTGCACATTGCGGTCCCGACAAGCGGCCCGTGGTAGGTAGAGGAAGCCATGCGAAATCCTCTGACGTGAGTGGGTCCAAGACCTCTATGTTGAACTCGCGCGCCGAATCCCATGAAGAACCACTTGAAGACGATAAGTCGCCGCTACCAGACGGAGAAGATGCCGCACACACGTCTTGTCCTTGAGCATGAGTACCTAGCGTAGGAACGAGCCGGGCAGCATAGTCCTCATAAAAATATAGAAGAGGACTATCGACTTCCACATGTGCCTCGGAACGAAGGGCGGTCACCCACGAAGCGACCAGTTCCGAAGGTGTCGAGAGTGTCGTCGATTCACTCCAGGCGGTGCTCAGTTTCCCGACTTGTCCTTGCCTTTCGACGGGCAACCCACTTTGTTGTGGAGATCACTGTTACACCACAGACAACAGTGGAATCTCGTGTGTAGCTTGTACGCACATTCGGAGAGATCGTAGTGGGACCATGGGGCTGGAGCTGCTACGCCGGGCCCGGGGATAGATGCGGTGTTTGTCTTCGTCTTGCCACGTCCTCGGCCTTTGCCAGCGCGGCCACCATCCCGGCCGGCTGCGAGCCTGTCCCATTCATTGCTAGATACGGCCTCACTTGAAGGGTCGGTTGGTGTTGCCACCTCGACCACGACCACTCTCAGCCGATGCTGATCTCTGCGCGTGCCTGTTGCAGACGAACGGTTGAGGGTTTTGGCCTCCTTGTTCGTGACAATGATCTGCGCGACCTTGTCAAAAAGCTCCGCCGTTGTCGTCAGGGTATCCTTGACGTGAGTCAAGGCGTTGCCCAACGCCGGACACGACCTCGTGATGACGTAGCGTTTGACGGCCTTGAAGCCCATCTGAATGTCTGGAACGGATTTCAAGCGTTAGTACTTGGCAATCCAATCAACACTTGGCAGCGTGCATTGTTCGAAGGTTAACAATTTGTCCATTGCCTTGATCTCCGACGACTCTACTTGAAACTGCTTATGCTTCGCCGCCTTTAGATCATCCCAGCTGATCTTGGTGTGCAACTCGGCAGCTACCACCCCGTACTTGGACAAGAGATTGTCCAACCATGCTTGGCACGCACCCCCCGACGAGGAGTATAAGTACGCGTGATGCGTGTCCTTGCTAACGTGGTGTAGCTGCAACTTGCGCTCGAACTTGCGGAACCACGAAATCGGGTCCGTCTTCGCAGAAGATCTCCTAACCATCGAACTTTCGAGTCGTCTTGCTTGGTGCCGAACTCCATGTGGAAGCGGCAGCACAGACTCGCTGCTCCAGTTGTTGTGTGGCGGTTTGCTATAGCTGCGCTTCGTCCTTGAGGGTTCCGACGTCGATCTCCAATGCATTGAGGCGATCGAAGGTGTTGGAGGAGACGGCATCAGGGGCGGCGATGGGTCGTTGCTCCAGCTGCCGGAGGCGGCTGTTGACTTGATCAAACGCCTCGTTGTGCATCTGAACCGCGTCATAGAGGTTGTGGATGTCCTCCTGCTGTGCGATGCACGTTGCCCGCAGATCCGTGAAATGGGAAAGGAGTAGAGCGATCTTGCTTTCACGGTCTTCCATCTTACCAATCTCAGCCTCGGCTCAACAGTCCGCTGCCATTGCGAGCAAAGCTCGCTCTCCGTTGAATATCTGCTCGCATCGTTGATTTCGTTCTTCATCGGCAGCCTTTGCAGCTGCCTCGTCTTGCTGGCGCTGCTGTTCGATTGCCGACAGACGTGCCTTCTCGACATCCTCTGCCTTCTTCTTCTCTGCGGCTGCTTCCTCATCCGCCCGTTTCTTGGCTTCGATAATCAAAGCCGGCATCCGGGCCTGATAGGCCCCTGGACTTTTGCTCCATGCCGGTTGTTTGTAAGCGCGTGAGCATAGACCAGGCCGGAGGACTGCTGACGTGGCACTGTTCGGCTGCTCACGGGGCGCGGCTGTCGGCTGACTTGCCCTGCTGACATGGCCTGCTGACATGGCCTGCTGACATGGTCTGCTGACGTGGCCTGTTGACATGGCAACTCACCAATGCCGCCGCAGGGGGTACCCGGAGAGAGAGAAAGAAGATAAGACCAGAGGGGGCAACAACATAGGTGGGGAGGGGTGGGTGGGATAAATTGCCTAGATAAGGAGCCACTAACCAAAAAAGAAAAGTTCGAACTTTTGCAGAGAAACAAATTTCGAGAATCAATAAAAATCCTGAATTTTGCAAGTTCAGTAGGTCTCCCAATCTCCCTTAAAACCAAAAGAACAACGGAAATCGAAATTTTCAATTTTTTTTTTTTTTTTCGATTTTAACAGTTAGGTCCAGATGTTAGATCAGGTTGTCCTGATTCACGTGCGGTGCTCCGATACCAACTGATACATGCCCAGTTGGGCAATGTATGTACAACCAAGGATCCGCAAGGTGATGAAAAGGACTGAATGGACAATGCAGTGTTAGTGGAATCTCAACAAGCAGTGTACATCCTAGTACATACAAAATGGCACTTTGTAGCGCAGTGGAAGCCTCGGATATAAGTCCTAATTTGACCGGGACTGACAAGGCATCCCATTATACATCACCCATGTGAGAGGAGGAGGAGATACCAAAGTGTTGCATACCGTAATGGTGCAAACCAGAGCAAGGTCCCTCACATAGTACAAGACAGCGCAGCGGAATGCTAGGATACCAATGATCAACCCAATCAATGTCGCAATGCAGACCCAACATACATCATCGTCGTTGCAAGGTGTGAAGGGCCTGGAGCTACACACAGGAAGAATGCGCCAGGTCCGGACCATACACAGACGAAGAGGAGGGGATTAGACGAAGAAGAGGGGGAAGATGGGAATGTCGTCAACACCAAGTCTTCGGTACAGGTCCCAAATAATCCCTCGTTCAATGTCTCAATCCCAATGTCGAGTCTGAATTCAAATGTCGTCAAGTCCCAAAGTCACCAATATCTCTCCCTCTCGTAGTCTGTAGATACTGAGAAGTCAGGTAGTGAGAGGGTGAGGGAGAGATGGTGGACTTAGAAGATGAAGAAGAAGAACTCTCTCTCTCTCTCTCTCTCTCTCTCTCTCTCTCTCTCTCTCTCTCTCTCT